AGGAAAAAGAGTATGCTGAGAGAAGAAAAAGTCTGACATGTATGTTGATATTTACCTTAGTTTATGTGTTGGGAAGAGCATACTTGAAAGACATGAGTAGTAATGTATTTTATCCCTTCCCACACACATGGGGCCTGGCATGCCCTGGAAGAGAATCTCCTAGTAATTAGTATTAATTGCTATGATGTAGCACTCCAGTGGTTTATGAAGTGTCTCTGGTGTCTCACCGAAACCTAATGTTTCAGATACAGACATAAATATCATAAAATACAGTTTTCTTAATAAAGTTACACCCCTACTGATTAGCCAGTGCCCTGAAGTCTAGTGATAATAAGACCTGACTTAAACCTCCGTGCTCATCCCTGTGCACACTCCCTTCTGTGACAAACCAGCTCTTCCAGCACTCAAGTTTATTTCAATAGTTGAAAATTAGCTCCTTGTTCTCAAGAGCATCAAGGTCTGGCTGTCTGCAAGTGGTGGCTGCTAGATATGCATACTAATTTATTGATTTCAGGGAGAAAAACAAGAAAAGGGGAAAGAAGAGAGCTTAGGGGTGGAAAAAGAGCAAGAAAGTGGCTGCAGGAGCCTGGCAGCAGAGTGAGCCACAGTGCTCTGTCAGGAGATCAAAACAAGTGGATCCACCCTCATAATCTTCTTCTTGCACAACCCCTGACATGGCTGTGTGTGGCTGTGTTTCACCCTGAAAAGAGGTGAATAGAGGACAGACTGCTGACTTACACAACGTTTAGAGGAGATAGAGGTGAATTTTTAGACAGCCCCTGCAGCCAGTTCAATGAGTAAAATAACAAGTATAAAATAACAAGTAAGCAAGTTGATTTTGCATCAGGGTGCAACTAATTTAATAATTACCAGGCCAGACTCCTGCCTTCTGGTGTTTTGAATGCTGAGGTATAAAAATAAAATGTGTGAAATACAAAATAGGATTTCTGGATGGTGGGAGTGAGCAAGATTTTATTAAGGAGATTTGTTTAAATACTGCTACAGAAGGTGTAATACAGATCATACCATCTCACTAAGTCACAGGAGTTCAAGAGTTGAAAATGGCCATTTAGAACTTGGATGTATAAATAAGTGTCAGAGAAACTGAATAAATTCTTTTCTCTTGAAGTTGGAAAACCTTCTCAGACACTACAAATGACAGAAATTTCATCTTGTTCACCAGAAAGCCTTTCCAGAAGTGTCAGTGACTCATAGATTCAATGTCAGTCCTAAAAGCCTTCCAACACGAGGAGAATATGAAGTGATGAGGCATCCTCTGCTGCACATCTGCTTGAAGTACAGCACAGCGCTGTTTTAGCACCCATGTTTTTAGGAATACAGGCACTGAACGCCCCTTTTCGCAGCAAGACAGGATTGTCTCTTCTCTGTGGGATTTTTTTTTTTTTTCCATCTTCAAGCACAGATAGCCGAGGGAGGAAGTAACTGAGTGATTGGTTACTTGTGACTACTGAACAAAGGCCCCTTTAAAGAAATGTCTTTGAGTGTAAGCAAAGTTATGAGTTGTTAACCTACTGTTGATTTGCATTAGAAAATCACTTAAACAGACATTCTTCCTCGAAAAGTTCTGTCTGTTGCTTCCCAGAGGCTCATATGGGGCACTGTAACTTTGCTTCATCATCGCTTACAGTATTCCAGGAGGAGTACAAGGAAGGGATGAGAGACAAACAGAGAAATTAAAATAAATTTGGGATGTAATATCTTGGCCATTGATTATAGCAGAATTCCAACCTAGCTATGCTAGAAATGTACTCTGTTAGTTTGGACAAGCCATTGCAACAATTGACACCTCACACCCTTATTTGGTTTAGGACACAAGTTTCATGATTAGCTTAAGCCAATCTGAGACTGTACTGCTGCCAAAGGGACATTCCTCCCCCTTCTTACATCAGACCAGGCACCCACATGACCATACAATAAACTGATCCAACTGAAAACCAGCCCTGGGAAAAAGGAAAAAAAAAAAAAAAAGCAGATATTAGTTTTTAATTGAGTCTGAAAGTTAAGCAAGCTCACTGTTCTACCTGAAGGTTGTTGGGGTTAACAAAGTGGATGGACTGGGAACAAGCAGCTAGAGGGATGGAGAGGTTAAAGAACTGCCCTCTGGCAGTGAGATTCAGCAGAATGAGTCTTATTTTAAGTGGGTTTAAAGTTTCCTTTAGCATGCAGTGTGTGCCCAGGAAGGTTTGCTCAGTAGAGAGAAGCAGGTTGTGCTGCCACCCCAACAGCTGTGCTGTGTGCACTGGAGGGGTTGTGCTTTGGGTTAGCTCTGGGCTTGTCCCCTGCAGGAGCCTGCTGTATTGGGTATGCTCCTGGAGCGTGTCTTCCAACTTAGGTGATAACAAAAACTCATGTAGATGCACCCAGTGTGTACCTGGGGGTGCCAACAGGACTAACATTTTTTGAGACCTCTGGATGCTATCATCATATGAAAGTAGAGTCTGTTTGAACTCTCTTCTTGGGGTAGAGAGGCAGGAATGTAGCAGACCCAGTGCTGAGCAAGAAAAAAGAGACCACAAAGATTTCATGTGGTTTTGTCCCCACAAGAGACTGAGTCTTTTCTGTGGTGCTGCTTTCAAGCAATGGAGGGGTGCCAAGGTCTCTGTGGTTCTCATTGGTGATGGTGCACTCAATGCTTTTCCCACTTGTGATTATTACCAACATAAAGCTCTGCTTTTCTTAGCTCCTGGATGCTTCACCAAAGTAGTCTGCGGACTCACATTCTAGCTTAAATGTGTCTTTTTGAGCTGCATCCTTAATTTGCCCTTTGGGGGTGTTTTGTGCTGTTAGTGTATTTAAGCACTTACTCATATTTTTCGTGGGTCACTCTGGTAGTAAAAGACAGCAGGGGGCACCAAATCTGCATAATTCTGTTAAAATTACAGCATCCAGGTCCATGCTCATAAAACTGAAGTTATTATGCACGCTCTCAGTTTAACATCCGGAATTTTGTTCCAGCACTGATGTTTTCTAAGATACCTGCTTGATTCTCAGGAGCTACAGTGGTGAAAACAGAGGTCGAATTTCCACAAATGTACACAACTGGGCCAGTAGCAGACCTTTCCCCTGCCAGCTGTCATCCCACTCCCTTCCCTACTTAGTGTTATGGGCTCCAGAGCTCAAGCCCAGGAAGATGCTCTCTCTAATACTTAAATCAGGAACCCATTTGTATTTACAGAACTGAAGGCTTGTTTTTCAGTTCCAAAGTATCTTAATGTCGGTGTTGAAATCACAAGTGTTGGACTTTCTAATGAACTCAACTTCTGTTGAATGGCCATGCAAAATGTTTTCAAATCTAGAATAAGTGATGTAGCTTAACTCTGCCTCTGTTCTTTTGAAGAAACTGGAACTCATTCCTTTTGAATTGTTAAGAAAAAATCCTCTGCAAAATAAAAAGGAAACAAACACAAAATATATTTTTGAATATTGGTTTAAATGTAATCTGTGAGGATGGATCTGATTCAAAAGCTTCTTAATGTGAGTGGTTCACACTCATGAAACATCTGTGGGTACACTCAGAAAAATAAAACCTATTTTTTGTATATATAATATGTATGCATTATTTGTATTTTAGAAGGGCTTCAGGATTGGATCCTCATTTGATAACATACAAAGAAAAGTAACATTGCAGTTTGATAGACACTTTAAGAAATCTGTTAATTAGGAGCTACTAGTAGCGTGTTTCTGTTACAGCCAAGGACCAGGAAGATGAAAAAATGTGTTCAAACCTTGCTGACATGGTCACCACATAGTTTTTTTCCTGCCCTGCATGCCTGATCTTGGGTTTCTGTTCTTCCAAATTTAAAATCCTTCTTTGAAAAATCAGACCACAGAGAGAGGGAATGAAGCAGAATAGTTAGTCATGCAACTAAGAAGAGAACCTGGGTCTGAGACATGACTGCTCATTCTGTGGCTTTTGGTAAGTCATTTTAATGTCAGATTCACAAAGTAATTTAGTTATTTGAACTTTAAGTTCAGCTTGTTAGGTGCACACCTAAGTAAGTAGTGCTTCTAGGCTTCTTTATGTACTTTAAATGCAATTACTCATTGGATAAAATAGATAAACAACATACCTGCTAAGCCTGCCAGAACAGCATGTTCTTACAGGCAATTGCCATTGTTTCAGACAGCAGGAAAAGAACATCTTTTGTTGGGTGACCAATACTTAGGAGAGTAGCTGCACATGAATGTGCACGATGACAGCCTGAGAAGTGTCTAACAGCACCTGTCCTGATCTGTGCTGAACTGGTGGCACATGCCAAGCTGATCTGTGCATGTAGAGTCTGTCCAGTATATCTGGATTTAGTGATATTGTCAGATCTGAAATGTTAAAAGCAGGAGGAGAAATCAAGTGTGGTTTCCCCCAAGGAGATACCTCATTATGGGATTACTCTTCATGATTAGTTTACTGAGCATTTTCTCTGAGGGTTCACATGTCTTGTATTTTTGTGCAGTTTCACAGATTCACTGACCTTACAGCATTATTGTGAAGAGAAGTACATTCAATATTGGAAAGAGTCCTTATACCACCATAATGGGGATTGCATAAATATCTAGTGTAAATAGACTCTACATTACCCCTGATTTCTTCATAGAAAGTTTACACCCTTGAACTTTTGGCTTCATTTGTCCTACTCACAATAGCAGGTTAAAATAATGATTTCAAAACCGTATTTTACAGTCACCAGTCAAAAATTCTGTAGGACTCTAAATAACAGATCTGGATGGTTCCTTAATCATCTGCAGGTAATCATCTGTGTTTCTTCTGTCTCCATAGCTCTTAAACCCTGTCAGCTTGGACATCTCTGGAAGTGTTCAGGGTCAGGTTGGATGGGACTTTGAGCAATCCCAACAACCTGATGGATTGCAAGATGTCCCTGCCCATGGCAAGGGGGTTGGAGCAGGTGATCTTTAAAGGACTCTTCCATCCTAAACCTTTCTATTTGTTCTGTGACTTAGAATGTGTTAGGTAAGGTAATGAGTCTCTGGTTTGTAATTTGTAACCCAAATCCAGTCTTAGACCTTGGATGCAGTGTGCATGACATTTTCAAAGGTAGGTTATGGAAGCATGATCTGCTTGACATTTTTACATGACTATTAATGTCATGTTGGGAACATACAAGTTTAGCAACATAATCTCAATTTCATGGCTTTATCAATAGAAAAATCTTTCTAATTCCTAATTTAAATCACTTCTTATATTTAAAGACCATTGCATTCTACCCTATCTGTAGTGGGCAAAGAATATTATAGTATATATTTCCACACTCACTATCACTTTACATATCTGAAGACTGTTTTCAGTGTGTCTTCAGAGTTTTCTTTAGGTGGAATGAGCTCAGTTCTTTCTGCCTTATCTCCTAAGCTGATATCTCTAATATCTCCTGAATTATCTCAAACATGTGAACACAGTTTTCACAAGTGTAATGTTCCAAAATGTCACTACTTCACATCTTCAGTGCTGCCTTCTGTCTTATATATCCCAGTACAATATTTTCTGCTTTCATTCCAGATTGATACTATTCCATTTGTTCCATTTGTGACAAAACATGCAACTGTTTTTCTGAGTACTGCTGCATCATGCTGGGAAAATGCACCTGGTTTTGCTATTATTTTTTGCTATTCACGATTCACTGTCAAAATGAAAGGATTTGGCACATAGGATTCTACCTTAGGTCTAGCACTAGTAAAAACTCCCATTAATATTTTCGGTAACACAGAAGAGAGGATTATTAAATAGCATTCAGCCATCAGCTGCAGAGGATCTCTTAACTGCCTGTGAAAGGGTAGGATGTAAATTGAGAATCATCATGTCAAGTTAAGAAATCAGTATGAAAAGTATATGCTACTCAAAAAAGAAAAGCAAGAGCTACTTCATTTAGGTAGGAATAATTAAATACAAAATACTAAGAGTGGAGAAATCAGACAGCACTGTGAAACAGATCACAGAGTTAGGATATATGACTTTATTGCTCATTCCTTTTCCCAAGACCTGTTACTTTGTTATAGAAAGAATTTTGTTTCATTTCATACAGTTTTACCTAGATTAATCATTGGTCCTTGCTATTTCTTTCTTGCTCTCTTCTTGTTATTTGTTTAATTGAAATTAACAGAAAAATAATGGAATAAATAATTAAACATGGAAAAATGCTGATCTTTCCAAGGCTATTCCCTTTTCTTAAGATGGCTTTTATCTTTGCCAGTCTTCTGTCTTTCAGGATTTCTCAAATATCTAGTCAGTCTGAGATTAACAGCAATTTTTAAAATATAAAGCAGAACGGAAATATGTGCCAGTCTCCTTAAATAAACTGGCTTTCCTGCAGGGACATTTCATGCATATCTCAGACTGTCTCTCAATGTTCTGTAGCATTTAAGAAACATTTTTCTTGGTGTCAAAGATAGTAAAATATTAGTTATTATTGTGAAAAAGCACATTTTCACCATACCTATCAACACCATAAAACTTGTGTATTGAAGCAGAATCTCATTTAAGAAGTTGTGCAGACAGAAGGATGAATGTCTGCTGTTAGCACCTGTGAATTTGACAGATATTCAGATACGAAGTTGTGTGGTGATCTACTTTCACAATATAACGTAACAGTAAATTCAGATGCCTCAGATTTGAGGCCCAAAATTGCAGGGTTTGGAATTCACATGTGATGTTCAGAGACAGAAGACACTAATTAAGGTAGTAAAAGACACTGTGCATAAAATGGGTTTATACAATTATGGGCTGTGAAGCCTTGGACCAGAATGCTGTCAGGCAATTGGTTTATCTGGAGACTCCTCCCACTTTTAAAATATAAATATATTGGTTTCATGCCTCACCTAGGAATTCAAACAGGCTGAATATATCTTTGCCTTGCAGCACCATTAAATTAATGTTCCTACGAGTGGAGTTTCTAAACTCAAAGTTATCTTTTTAAAGAAGACCCTGGCTGCCTAGTGGGGGAAAATGGAAGATTTCATGCAGTTTTGTAGTTAAAAGCATATTTTTATTTACTTAACTGAAGTCCTAAACCCGATAACAAAGAATACTGATAAATACAACCAAAGAATTGCAAACAGTGTAATGTGTTTGGGTTAAATTCAGGCCTGACAGCCCTGCAGGATGAAATAATCCACATAGAATAATTTTGGAATGGGTAAAGGCATAGACACTCCCCAGTGCAGTTTCTGGATTTTAGTGTGGAGGTACCATTTGTTGGAGCAGAAGGGTAATTAAGTTTCTGTTCCTCCTCGCTTGCACCAAGGAGATTAGCAGGGGAATCTCATTCTTCTCAGTTTTGCAAGGCAGACACTTTTCTGATAAGAATTGAATTTGCTTATTTCAGACAGTCTGGTAAACAACCATCAGAGGACAACTTTTCTCAGCTGCTGTGTCAGTCTCACTGCAGTCTGGGCACACCTTGCCACATTCAGCTATCTTGGTTGCTCAGGTGAGTAGTTAGTTGGTAGGGAGATCAAACTGTTTACTCAGCTACTTAAGCTCATTTTCAGTAATTCTACCTCCTTCCTTGGGATACACTAGTCCCTCCTCTTCAAGGTGAAAATGAGCTCAGTAACACTGTTTGTGGATATAGGTCATCTTAATTCATCTTCCTAGTGACTTTTGTTACCTTTAGGACATAATTTATGTGAGAATTTACACGTCACTAATTCACACTATCCTTGCTGGAGACACTTCAGTTTAAAGGAAAACCAGCTTACTGTACTTTCAAAGCAAGATTACTTTCTCCTAGCAAGGCAAAGTGGCCTTAGTGGGAACTAGGGCAGCTAAGCTGCAGTGCTTGGAAACTTACACCCTAATTATCATTAATTAGCTTCTCCATCTGGGCCACAAAAAATATGTAAAGAATACTCAGAAGGTTGTCCAGTGCATTACCTTTTCCTGCAGTATGATCTCCATTGAATGCATGTGTGTTGCCTGGTCATACTGCAGTCGCTGCAGTGGAAAACGCTTTTGCAGTTTAAATTAGCAAAAGTGCTTTCTGATTTTCCGTTATTTTAATGTTCAAAGTATCCCTCAGAAGGTAGCATACATACATATGTAAGTTACAACAGTAACTGATAGATCATTAACATGAATTGGAAATACCAGAACTGCTAAAATATTATCTTTGCTTCCATTTCTGGACTGCACCCCTAGCTTGGCCACCTTCAGCTTTGCTTATGTTAATTATTTCAATGGATACTGAATTATTATCAACCCAATGGATGTTTCAGAAGCCAAAATAACCCCTCACCTGAATACTTGCTGAAAAAAGATTTTATTTTAGAAAATTGTGTCTACAAAGAAAACCTGCCTGGAGTTAGTTTGATTTTGAGAGTTGCTATACGTGCAATCCAAAGCAAACAAAAAAAAAAAAAAAAGGAAAAGACTTCATTTCTATTATATGTTTTTTTCACAGGAGTTTATAGGTCAACAATTTATGTGACCCAGTCAGCAAGAAATGCATGTGTAGCATCTACGTCTTTGGATCAATTAGCTGGCTGATGTCAAGGTAATTACATTAATATAAGGCTGTTGCAGGTTCAGGGAGGAGAGAGCTTAGTTTCTCTATGGAAGAACTAAATGCCTTGAACAGAGAAGAAGATTTTGTCTCTGTGTGTATGTGCAGTACTTGTAAGTCATAATAGTTTCTAAAAGGCTGTTTAACTTTCTGAAGTTGTCTTGCTGGTTCTGCTTCAAACTGGAAATATTTTATATGATGTTAAAGCCAGGATGGCTAATGTATTAAAGATTTATATTTAGAATAGGAATGATCTTCCAGAACAGCGTTCTCATGAGATTTCTTGCTAAACATGTTCCTACTCCTCCATTGCCACCTCCAACCTTTTCTTCTGGTATTTTTCCAATTTACAATATGAATTCTTCAGTACTTGTTGTCAAATGCTAAAATAGTTTTTATAAGAGACTTTAACTGAAGTGACTAGAGATTCTAAGTGATACAGAGTGCTATAATCATTAGTTTTACTCCTACAGTTAAAAATATCCCTATTTATAGAGTTTTTATTTTCTCTGCTTTAATATGAGAAATATGTTTCAAAGTTACAAAAGCTCAGGGGATCAGTTTGGACAGTCTTTACTTAAATTCAGTGTTTGATAAAGAGTTCTGTTATTGATGTGCTAATAATACAAGTCATTTTTTTGCAGCAAGTGATTTTTTTCCCTTTAAACAGAGGTAAGTCAAACCTGATACTAATTTATCAAGTCTGAGGACAAGGAGGCAGTGTAATAAGGGTCCTGAGCTGACAGGAACGAATCCATTCCTACTGTTGCTGCAGCACATGCTGCTGTATATCTGCATGGCCTCTCCTTCCTTTCACATCACAGGTGTGCCCACCTCTCATAAAACTGCCTCAAACCCAACTTTACTGAATAAATACAACCATAAAAGTATGTTTATGTATGCATTAGTCAACACTGTTATTTATGCAGACCATATTGTAACTATTCATTTGTGTGTGCAAGTTAAAAATGACTAAGACCATTAATTCAGTTCGAACACATATGTCAGTTTGGTGAAATACTGATTTTTTCCTAAACTATAGCAAAGACACCAGGTCTAGATTTACTGCACCAGATTGCTTTTTTCGGGACATCAGGGATGAGCATTCAGTATCAGTCTCCGAACAAAGAGACAAAGAGGAAGAGCATTTAGTTTCATATGAGAGAATTTAATCATCCTCTGAGAAGGAGAACTGTTGAAGGGCATCACATATTTGTCTTTGTTCTGGCATCTCTGTTCAGAATGATGGAGCCATAAGGTGTGGGGAGCACCAGCAGGGCTTGTAGATTAGCAGAGTATTACAGGCTCTGGGGTAGGAAAAAATGAAACATCTTTAAAATCTGAGGAATTTGGCTCAGAATGTCATTTCAGTGTTTGGACAAATGCATATTTTATGCAATTTTTCTTATTAGCATAACTAGCTCTGCAGGATCTTCAGTGACTGATGAAGGATTTCTCATAGGTTACTTATTCCGAAAATTTGATATTCCTCTTTCATTCCTTTGATGGAATTCAGTTATTCAGAATTGATAAAGTTGTAACCCACTCTCTCCCCAGCACAGACACAAATTAAATTCCTTCTTGGCAGGATTAAGTAATGTTAGCAAGCATTCCTTGTGTATAGTTTCCATGTATTGATTTGAAGGATATTAGGTAATGTCAAAGGCAATTAAGAGTGGTTCAGATATACGTTAAGGCCTTACTTTCTATTCCCTACATTGGCTCTCATTTTTATTTTGTGCTTCCTCTCCAGACTAAGGAGTTTGAACAGTTCAAAAAAATGTTCTTTGAAAAAAAAAAGTATATGTGTTATTTCACCAATGCTAAAAATCTTATTACTAGTTTGTGGAAGACTCCTGCCTTTCACGTATTTATTGGAAGGACTTCACATCTGGAAGGACATAACCTCTAAAAGATGAACATGAATTCTGCTGCTGCCATGAATAATTAGGGTCTTTGGCTAATTCTAATCCTTCTGAAAATTATTAGAGAACTGTTGGAACCAAGCAAATCCTTTCCCCATTCCATTTCACTTTAAAGCAGGACCTCCCTCCCCTGCAATTGCTTTTTCAACTGCTTTTTGCTACTCTGTCCTGGAACTAAGAGCAGAGATCCTGTCTTTCTGGAGTGCTTAGTATCCTGCCAGACATTTCAGCACTGGTGAGGAAGCAGTCTTGGTGAACTCCTAGAAGATAAAAGTTGAATTTGGAGGAGTTAAGGAAGTGGGAGGCAGTAGATGGACCAGGCTGAGAGTATAAACTAGCAAGAAGATAAGGGAAGGACAGGCTAATAGGAAAGAACTGTGTGGTAGAAGGGCAGAGGAAGCTGGAGCAATAGAGCAGAAAACCACAGCTTAGGAATTTAGAGGTGCAGTGGTATCTGTGCTCACAAAATTGGTCCACTAACCCTGCAGGTAATGCAAAAAGTCACGGATAACCTGATGACAAACACTGCTCTATTTGCTAGCAAGTTATCAGTAACATGCAGGGTCAAAATGTGTGTTGTGCCTCTGTGGTAATCAAAGCATGGGACAGAACAGTTACTGAGATCACTCAGTTCAGATGAGTGATCTGAGCTGCAAGACTCAAGGCCCAGTTTTGCCAGTGGCCACGATGGACATGAGTGTGATGACAGTGTGTAATTCTGATACTGGCTGGCAAGTGAATAGTAGAAGCAAAGCACTACGAAGTGTTGTGCTCCGAAGAGTCTTATTTTGCTATTTAGGAATATTTCTACATTGCATATTAATCTATGCTTTTGCAAGTGGATTTCAGTCATTAAACGTGGAGATTATAGACTGACAGGAACCTTAAAAACTTCAACAGGGGTGAATGTAAAGTTGTGTACTAAGGAAGGAATAAACCCTGGAAATTATATAGGCTGGAACCTATCCAGCTGAAGATGACCTGAGACAGGCAGTGGAATAGGTTGCCCAGAGAGGCTGGAGGTTTTCAAGACTTGACCAGATGAAGCCCTGGGCAACAAGTCTGACATTGACTTGGCACTGATTTGAGCAGGAGGTCAGACTAGAGACTCCTGAGGTCCCTTTCGACATAAACTTTCCTATGATCCTGTGATAATGTTGTTAAAATTTATTCATCCACGTCCTACAAAAGAAGGTGGGAACAGCTGGCAGTAAAATGAGATTATTGTCAGTGGGTTTGTGAACTATCACATTCCTGGTATCTGAAAATAAGGCTTCATTAACAAAATGTCACTTGCCTTTATTATTGCAAAGGTAACCTTTTGAAAGTGAACTGACCATGCAGTAATAGAGTCATTTCATCTGGAATCTGCAGATAATCTGAAATAATAATGCATGAGACTATGAAATGCTTCTATTAATCTCTGTGGGATATTAGCAGTAAAGCCCAATGATGGCAATTTGTATATAAGCGTTGTTAATAATTCAGTATTACTTAAGGTTCACAAAAGAGAGATTCAGATGTATTATTAAAAATACTTAATCTATGAATGACAGTTCTCTCCTATAATTAATGTAATGGCTTTTAGTCTAGCAGGCTTTTACTCAGTAATATGTTACACTTAAAACTATATATTGTAACAATAACATAGGAATCCTAAAACTATGAACCACCTTGGCTGAGGGTGTATCATCACCTTGTTGGTGGATTTATGGTGATTTTAGCCTCTCACTTCAGTGACTACTGGCCTTTTAAAGACTTGTCCTTTAGGTTTATACAGTTGAGGTAATTATTTGGGAGTTGAAAGGACTCATTAGCAGTCCCTTCTCCTCTCTGATGCCGTTCTGTAAATTAGCCACTGGAAATTTCTTTCAGTGCCTTCAAATTCTTTCGTTATCTAGCACAAAAGGTCATTTCCCATAAAATCAAGTGCTCCAACACCTGCTTATGTAAGGACATCCTGAACTCGTGAATCTATTAAATGTGTTTTCACAATCTATTTTCATGATCGGATGTTGTTTGGTTTTGAGTGCTGTCTGTTGCTCACCAGATGAACTCTGTTTTTATTACTAGTAACCTGAATTTTTCTGGTCCCCCCACCAAAAGCCATCTTAAGTGAAGAAATCCCAAATCATGATAGTGTTTTGCCCTATGATCATAGTTGAATAGTGATAGCTTTCAAAATCAGCATGTCAGTACTGCTTGTACAAAAGCAGCACCACCATCTATCCTCCTGTGATGACTCTCTGTGAAATTGGGAGCAGACTGTATCACAGTCATATTTTCCAATAAATATGCATGGTAAAGACAAATTCTTTACTGTTCCCCAGTACCAAATCCTAATAGTGATAGCTGTAGCATTACAAAACTTCATCTGTGCAAGGAGAGTGAGGCCCCTCACAGTCTTTTGTAAAACACCTTTCTCCACAGGTTTTACACACTGTCATGATCTGCTTGTGGGTACTGTGGGATACAGCCCACAAAACCAGTTCATGTAAAAACTTGTGCTAGGAAGTGTTATTAAGCTTGAAGTACCTTATGTGACCCATCAACAAATACATTTAAAAGGAATAGCCCCTGGTTAAACATGAGAGCAGAGACTACAAACCACTTTTTAATCAATCTGTACGTAATTTACTTTTCATTTCTTACTGACTTTCTACTTTGTCTGCAATTTATCTCATGGTCCAGCTTTCTGACTAATTTTTGCTGTTGCATTCCCAACAACACTAATTTTGCTGTTGCAGGTGTTTGCCATGGAGTTAGAACAGCAGTCCCTTCTGGAAATGGCTTGGGAATATCTCCTTGTATGGAGGAAGCAAGAGCATTTGTGAGATTTTGAAGACAAAAGAGTGAAAGATGAAGTGCTAAATCTGAGACTGTGGCTGTTAAAATGAGCAGCTGAATACCAGAGAGCAAGGATTACTGCATTGCCTAACAGACTGCTGCAGAACCTCTGAGCCTTTTATTTCCAGTAATAAAAAAGAAATCCACGTGAGTCTCAACGTGTGGATGTAATTTTGTTTATTTGGGGAAAAGAAGCGTTAAAATAACAATTTTCGAAAGCAACAGTTTTTCCTAAAGGAAAAAGAACTCAGTTTTTATACATAAAATCTATATCCTATACTCTGTGTTTGTCTGGTTTGCTTATTCCAGATCCCTTCAGTGGATAATGCTGCATCCTCAGCTCCCACACCCTCCACCCTGGTCTCTGTGATATACGTTATTTCAAAGGAGCACAGCTGGGTGCTGGACTGTAATTTCTCATGCAGCCAGGGTCAGATCCATTAGTATATGTGGAGGTTAGGACCAAGACCATGAAAGTAGATGGGGAGCTAATAGACAGACTGGTGTTCCTGCTGTGTTCACAGGGGCTTAAACCAGGGAGAAAACAGTCAGGCACATCCATATTATTTTCGCCTTTTGCTTCGTGATTTGCAGTAGCCTCATTCATAAATGACAAAGGAACAGCTCCCTGATGTGAGGTCCTCATACCACAGAGAGCTGTAATGAGTTTGGAACAAGATGGAGATAAGGAAGACTTTTTAGTGATTACTCAGACAAATCTCTGAGTACAAATCAGAGATGCGCTGAAGGAAGGGTGTATCTTTCCATCACTCTCCATCACTTAAACATCTGAGGATACTTAAGGTATTCTCACGGTATTATGTAAGAAGAACTCAGTAAGACAAAAGTGTCCTAAATGCAGCTTTATAGATTTTTTTCCTTTCACTGTATGTCAGAAACTTCTGTAATTTGACAGCCACTGGCAATGATTAATGGCTAGCAATATGGCCAGGGGCAATGTGTGTTTCAAAATCAGTACCAGGAAAGACTGTGTGATCTTGGAAGTCTTTGGCTGTGGAACTGTCTTGCAAAATGAAAAATAAATATTTTGCCTGTGTGTTTGATGAAGAGCTCCAAATACATAGCTGGAATATAAATGAAGGTGAGAAGACAGTGAAAACCAGCAGAATATTTACCTTGGAATGTGGTGCTAAGCTGAGATTTAATGGTTGTTTCCACTTCTTTTATGGTATATTTATATTTTTCATAGATGTGCATATATGTACAAGTGTATACTTAAAAGTGCTCCAGAAAGAAATATTTTATTTTCATTTTCTTAGAAGTATCAGTTTTTCCTGTGTTGAATCTTAACATAGGCAATATATATCCAGATACTGAAGTAACTGTGGCAAAATAAGTAAATATTTCCAAGCACGATTCCTGTACCTCATTTACTACTCTTTTCAAAATGTGTGGTTATGAATAAACCATTTACTTCCACACACATATGCTCTGATTTCAGGATTTCAGATACAAAAAAAATAAAAGGTCAGAGAATTACAATGGGTTTACTGCACCCCTGTATGACGCAAAGCTCATTACTACTTGCTATGTTCTGTCCTTCTTAATTAAAGCATCAGTTCACACGTACAGTCTGGAGCAGCTCAATTATGAAAGGTTAGATCCATCAGTTTATTCCTGATTGGTTTATTAATTACTGGTCTTGATTCTTGATTCAAATCAGCACTCTTTCCTCAGGATAAAAGTGCATATTATGTTAAAAATAATATCATAGAATCATAGAATCAGCCGGGTTGGAAAGGACCTCTGAGATCATCAAGTCCAACCCTTGATCCAATACCACTGTGGTTACTAGGCTAAGGCAGTAACTGCCACATCCAGTCTCATATACCATACTTTTAAACAAGAATATATTGTAAACATTTCAAAAGAAAGCTTCCATTGGACTTGGCTTTGATTGAATTACAATCTCCTGTTCCATGAAGTCTGACTTTCACAGGTAACCACTGGCAAATTTCTAGTTTTGTTACTGAACCGCCTTCAATCCATAAAATGATAGAACAAACACTGTGAGCTGAAACTCTTTTTCAGTTTTGTAAGGATGTTTCAAATAGCTTTCATCTATGGTCTTCAAAATATTTTTTAAATGCAACTTCTGATGGTTCTGTGGCATGGTCTCATGAAAACTTTTCGCTTGCAAACCTGCTGTATTGCGTCAGCTGATGCACTCCAAAGAAGTGGAAAAACTTTTGATAGTAAATCTAAACCAGATCTTTTTTAGAAATGGCTAAGCTGTGTCTGGAGATACCGCAGATGCTGTTAAAGACAAGGTGCGAAGGCAGGAACTTATCCTTCCTTCCTTCCTTCCTTATTTTAAACGTGTGCTTCAGTAATTTGGGTACTGCATATACCTGAAAGCCAGCAAGAGCACTTTCTCAGTTGATGGCATTTAAGAAAGGCTTGTCTTTATTTACTCCAACAGTAAGTGTCTTTTTCACCTAGTCGGAAAGGGTGGACTGGTTTCACTTTGCTGAGCTACTCTGCGGCGGTTCATGAGGTCTTGGGCTGGGTTCCTGTCCCCTCTCCATCAGAGAATGGACGCTCCAGCGCTGGCCTCCCCACGGACCTGGGATGCGTTTCATGGGATTTACCTGATCCTGAAAGGAAAACCAATAAGTAACACCCCACCACCACCACCAAAGCACTTCAAGTTTAGGCATATAATTATCTTCTCAGTATTTGGCCTGAACTGATCCCAGCCTACGCTCCTTCCTCTCACGCTGTCGTGACAGGATCTCAGTCAGAAACACGCGGCGCTGGCAGCAGCCGCTGCCCGAGCGGCGGCAGGAACCCCTCGCCAGCCCCGCACCGCCGAACCCCGCGCCACCAGCCCCGCACCGCCGAACCCCCGCGCCACCAGCCCCGCACCGCCGATCCCCGACCCCCTCCCCGCCGCACTCCCCCACCGAGGGGACCCGCCCCTCGGGGCCGCCCACCGCGGCTTCTCGGCGGGGCTGGAGCGCGGCGGAGGGGCCGGGCGAGGCGTCCGGTGCGGGGCGTTGCGGGGTCGGGGCGGGCTGGGCGGAGCGGCAGCGGCTGCGGGGGGCGCGGAGCCCGCCCGGCCCCGCGGCGTGTGCGGCGCTGCCCGGGCACTGCGCCGCGCCGGCGGCTCGGGGGTCGCCGCTCTCCCGCTGAAGTGAAGGTGAAGGGGGGCGCGGAGGGCTCTCCTCGCCATGGCCTTCACCTTCGCCGCCTTCTGCTACATGCTGTCGCTGGTGCTCTGCGCCGCCCTCATCTTCTTCGCCATCTGGCATGTGAGTACTCCGGCCCCGCATCACCCCTTCCCTCCGGCTGAAGCGGGATCCAGCCCTCGGTGTGGAGGGTCGTGCCACGAGGGGAGCGGGGCGGCGGGACGGGCTGGGGTTGGGGCGGGCAGCCCCTCGCCCGGGGAGCTGCGTCCCGCGCTTCCCCCGCCTGTGGCCCCGGTGCCAGGACGGGCGGACCGCGCCGTGGCACCTCTGCGTGGGTGACGGTGGCTAGTACATTTGTATAAGCGTAAAGACCGGTGGCCGCGCCGCTGTCTGTGACAGCTTGGTCCCCGCTCTCGGGAAGCGCTCGAAGGCTGAGCGCTGCCCCAGCCCTGCGCTGAGGGCTGAGTTCAGGGATGCTCGTGGTTCCGGCACCGGCTGTGCTCAGACGTGAGGTCTTCCAGGTAAGAACATCTGCTTTTCTTGCCTGCGAAGGAGAAACTGCCCCATACCTGATGCAGCAGTAAGGTTGCTTTTCTTTCAGTAATTACTACATTAATAAGTTCTTAAAAAGTCGGGGTTGAATGTGAAACTCTCTCATCCTTCTAATGCATGAGCTGGATATTGGAGTCCACCTTCATTAATTTCCCTGGAAAGCATTGGTGCTCACTCCTTACTGTACGCTGGGTGGCTGTGGTAGGCATAAGCATGTAACTTAGAGGGTGTTTATTTCCTCAGTAATGAGATTATGCATAATTTTGCAATTCTCTTATACTGTTACATATTTTGGAATTATTTACACTGCATGTGTGCTACGCAACTCCATGTCATAGACATTCAGGATGGAACAGGATAAGCTGAAAAATAGAACAAGTCTCATGAATGTATCTACAGCTACCTGATGAAGTAAGAAAAGAAATCCTCCTTTACTTACAAGCAAGGGAGATACAGAATATATTTTTATTGAAATGAGAGTAAAGCTGCTAGCTTAGTTGTATTAGCACTATGAAACAGATTCTTCTGTCATGAGAATACCTTGACATTTAATTATTTTGTACCCTTAATGGGGCAGTTACAAGATTTTTTTCTTACTAATGAAACCACAAAAGTGTGATGGTAATGCCAAGTATTGTAGGGATGTCAAGTACTGCAAGGCTGAAAAGGATTTCTAGCAGTCAGCTACTGCATTACTCTGAAACAAAGGAGTAGTACAATTTGAATGATTACTCATGTTTTCTTTCCTCCTCTTCCTCAAATCTTAAGATTCCCAAAAGTGCTCAGCTTCTTCAAAGGTTTTAGAGTTAATAGTATGTTCTGCTCTGAATCTCTAGCTAGAAATTAAAACATTTTCATTATTGCAACAATTTTAATAATTGTTTTATATATTTGAAGTATATTATTGTGTTCTCTTTTTCCTGGACTGAAGTTGTTGTCTGAAGATATACAGTACTTCAAGCAAATCTGGCAAATTGTTCTTCCATAAGTGAGTGTAGTTGCTGCAAATTTATTTGTAGTGAAACAATTTTTCAACTTTCAGTCTATAAAGTCATGAAGAGCAATCTCTTAGTACTGGAGCTCTGTAAGGCAACTTGGAAATAAAACCTTTTGTCAATACGCTTCAGTTTATGCAGCATGTTTCTTACATCTATTGAAAAATTGTTGAGGAATTGAAATTGAAAATTTCAATTATAAATGTAAGTGCTGTTCTGTTATCATAGTGCAAGAATTGGTATCATAATTTATTGTAAATAGATAGCAGTTCTATTAAAATACATGGTTTGAGAAGGAAGGTCATGGAATAACAGATTTAACACCCTGCCAGAATAAACTTTTAAGCATGCATATTATCCCCATATACAAAGCACAAGAAGATTTATTATCCTTTCTGTAAGAATTGTTATTGTGTGGTTTCTTGTGTAAGTTACATGTTCAGTCATGGGAGTTTCTTTTACCTTAAATATCTCAATTGTAAAAATCTTCCCAAGAAACAAAACTCCTACTCCTTCCTTGTGGCTTGATTTTTTTTTTTTTCACTATAATATACTTGTAAGGGACAGTAAATTTATTGTAAATAGGTCCTCCTAAGGGCAGTGGAGGATTTCAGTAATTAAATTTTCCTGTTAAAGTGCTTTTTGGTTTTTTCATTGCTAAGAATAAGCTGCTGATTAATCTGAGCATCCCAACACTTTCAAAGATTTCTGAGGTTCTAAGACTTAATAAGAACTTATGTTTTGTACATTATTTTAAAGGATAAGAAAAAGCTATAGCATTTGGACTTGATACTGTTCTAACCTGAAGCTGACTGAGGTTTGGGCAGTTATCTGGAATGAATTAACAGTGGATCAAATAAAATTTCATTTTCTTTCTGCTGGCAAGCCAGATGAATTACAATTTTCATTAATATTGATCTAATAGGTTCAATAAAAACTATAAAACCAAAACAAGAGAGTAAAGTGAGAATTGTTTTTTTTTTTTGGACACTGTGCTTTTCTGATGCCTTTCTTCTAAGAAGTTAAAGACTCTATGCATTCCTGTGCTCTCTACTCTTTGGGAGCAGACAAAATGAAGCTGGTCAGAACATTTTAAAGGAATTGTAAATAAAATACACAAAATCCTTCAGACATCTGGAACATGTCATAATTTTTTTCCTGCCTCTGGGTGATCTTCTTGTATAGGTAGCCAGTGGTGTCTGTCTTAATAAAGAAACACCAAAAAAACCCCAAACCAAAATTAGATACTATCAGAAACATTTGTTTAAACTCTGCCCAAGAATTATCTTAATGTATTCTTGCTGGAATTTTACTCATACATATTAAATGAAAGAAAAGGGATGAAGATATATTTCCATGTACTTCATACTACCAGCACGATTCCCTGTGGTACAGGAATTGCTTAAGGATGGAGGTTGTTCAGTGACCACAATACCTCAAGCTGTAATGTCATAATACTAGGAACATCACGTAGAAGGGGATGTTTTCATAACACTTTCGTGGAAAAGTGCTAGAGAATTTAGTAGAGGATGGTGACCTTTCTGCTTGGTTTCTTAATCTGAGTATAAATACATGGCTCTTGCTGTAGAAACACAGTTACAGTAGTGCTCTGTTTTACCAGCTGCAGTGTCACTGAAATGTGTTTTGGCCAAGGTGTCGTCTCAAATGGACTGATGCAACTGAGCATATTTTGGTGTGGTACATATGGGAGCATATTTTTATGTGATACAACTAACAGCAGAATTTGGTTTATTAACTATGTGATTTGATATCCTCATCTGATCTTGTTGTAAACTCAGGAACAGAGCGTGTGGTCTTTATTACTCACCATCACAGACACTTTGTTTTGCTGACCACAGCGCTTGTTCTTGTTTATATATAGCTTTTTACTGGTCGGTTTTACTCCATTCCTAAACTCTCTTGAACTAAGATTTATCCTCCTGTTAACATCTAACTGAGCTATGTCAAGTCTGTTTGAAGTCCCAACAAGACTTGACATACCACAATAATTTCTAGTGTAGCTCCACTAAGTTGTGTCTGAAGTGAAGTTAACTAAAGCTGACCAAATTATGGCTTTTCTTTCCTGATTTAAAATGTGGCATGCTTGTGTGAAGTCCCACAGCACTATTATTCTCTTAAAACATATTAGTTTGGGGTCATCTTAGTCCTTCCCTTTTTACGATATTTTAAGATGAAAATACTTGCTTTGAAATTTGTTACTTAAAGGAAAGATAATACCAGAGCAAAACAAGTCATAGTTATCAAGAACTTCACTGTTTTAAAAGAGGAGAATTTCTGTGGTGGGCTCTCTCTCTTTTTCAAGTCATACAAGCGTATCTTTGCGTGTGTGCGACTGCTTCATAACCAGCACTCCTTAAGCATTGCCAGAAAGTAGGAGTATCATGCCAGTGAAAAAACTGATGGTGCCAGCCTGAGAAGCTGTACCATATTGAATGCTTTTTGGAGTATTTGGGTATGATCGTGAACTCAGATGAATCCAGGAGCAGCTCTCTGGCATGACCAGAGTTGTGTGAGCTGAAGTTGATGGCAGTTACTTGAGCCAGGTGTAAGAAGAATAAAGCAGCAGAGCGTGGAACTTTTCTGTTATGTGCCCCTCCCCTCCTTATTTCTCTTTTGAAGTGTGAGGATAGTATTAATCCTGATAAACTACCTTAATAGGCCTTTGGCTTCACTTAACAGGTATAAGTTCACAGGTATACTTAAAAACAATGGGAGGCAGTGACTGAACAGAGTAATATAGGCTAAAATTGACTTGTAGTTTTAAGTCAAAGCATCCTTTTTTTTTTTTTTTTTGCAAACACCAGGGAAAGAAGCCCTTGGAATATGTATTGTGTTGTTTCTGCTAATGGCTTTGTGTATTACGTTTCTCAGACAGCTTGAATTATCTGTGCCTGTTTTTCTCATTTGCTAAGTGTGAGTAATGGAACTAAACTGTCACTTCATTTAACATCTATTCCTAAAATGTCTTTGCCTTTTGACAGAAGGTGCTATTTACATATAACATGTTGCCACTTCTGTTATTTTTCACTGTACTGTCCTGGTGATGTGGACTGTGTTTTATTAGTACTTAAGATTCAACAGCCTAGGTAAAAAATTCTAAAGCTCTCCAGGTTATGTGTGGAATTTGGTGAATATTCGTTATCTGATTTACTTTGGCAACCTCATGAAACCCATAGTCTAATTTTGAAGATACATTAAAAAGTACACAAGAAGATCCTGTAAAGCTTGGATTGATAACAAATTCAGTTGAGCAAAATGCTTTGGTCACAAACTGTGTGCTGGTCTATCAATGTTCTCTGTGTCTTACTGTTTCTGTGACTTAGATTTGGAGGATAGATCCCTGCCTTACCTGAAACCAGCAAAGAGATCTATGAGCTCCCTTGAACCTGTGCTTCTCTCCACAAAAGGCTCCCAGTCTCAATTTAACTTCTTTGCAATGCTTTAGAGCGTGTCATGAAAAGGAAGTAATTTCCTTACAGGCTTGTGGTAAAGCTTGAATTTTCTTTCAGATATTGAAGTTCAGTACTGTTCTTTAATGAGTCATTAATACACTTA